GGAAAGAGCTGCTGCTCAGGGGTACTTCTGTGAGCTCCCACCAGAAATCGTATCCAGCAAGGGAGGTTTAGGTGTGCCTAGAGGGGAGGCTGACTCCGTAAGGAGAGGGCATCCTGCCTCTGGTCTTGCAGGGGCTGGGATATTTAGCGAAGGCTCCTGTGACTCCCACAAGCAACTTCTGGCAGGTAACTGGGTGGAGTGGGATGATGCTCGGCTGTGGAGGGTTAAACTGCATCTGTCTGCTCCATGCTTCGGGCTGGGCACAATCTGTTTCGTGTGCTGTGGTGGTTTTTTAGAGTCAGCTGGCAAGTTTCAGAAGTGTTAGAGACAGAGGTGTAAGCTAGACCTCCGCAGCCTCTGGTTTCCTCTGGTTTATTTACATCTACTTATTGACTAAGTGTAATGAAACCAAAGTCAGGAAAAGCTGCGTGTTGAAAAGAAGACATTAAAAAGAGTTCCAGTAAAAGCAGGACTTCTTGCCTTATGATATCCATTGCCCCTCAGAATAAATAACATGCACTCCTCCTTCAGCTTCACTTTCAAAAGCGCAGTCCGAAAAAATCAGAATAACAAAATACTCCAGCTAATCTGGAAATGTGTTTTGTGCCAGCCTCCAAAGCTGAGAGGTACTAAAGACAAAGCATACCAAATACTAAACTTCTACCATGTTGAAAAAAAATACTTGTTTGGATTAAAAATTGGAGAATAAGGAGAAATCTTGGCATTAGGCAAAACGGCTTTATGTTTATCTCAGGCTTCCAATGCTGATTTCAAAGACAGCATCGCTGCCACCTCATCAGCTACAGTGAACCCTGACCAAGGAGAACAAGCTGAAATGCTGCTGGGCGGCCAGGGACGGGTCCAGCAGTAGCAAACTCCCCAGCGCCTCCGAGCCACGATGAGTGGGCTGCTAAAAGGTGCTTCGGCAGGCCGGAGCAAGCGGCAGCCACCTGCTGTCCCTGCGGGGACATGGCTCTGTGCCAGCGGGCAGGGAGAGGCTCCGTGCTGGGCACCAGCCCCGCCAGGGATGGGGCTTGCAGCAGCTCTGCGGCTCTAAGGGTAGGTGCTTCCCCTGTTGATCAGGTTGCACATTTGGGCTGGGAATGGTGATGGGAGCAGAGCGCAGTTGCACCCAGCCGTCTCCTCCTAAATGCCATGAGACTTTTTAGAGCAAATCTTGCCCGACCACTCCCTCCATGGGCGACTTGGCAAGAAAATCATCCTCTTGCAGGACCTCTCCCCTTCCACCCACAACAATTTACTTCAAAAATGTGAAATGCTGTGGATTACCGAAGTGGATCCATGTGCTGCAGAGATCATTTATTCTCCTTTGTTTAAAGGCTGTGGGAAGGGCAGCTCTGAAGCTCAGCTAATTCAAAGGTGCCAGATGGGCTCACAGGCTGCTGAAGCCACTGCTTGGAAGTGAACCTGCCCGTTGTTTTCTGCCGTAGGATGGAGGATGGCAGGAGCGCCCACATTGCTGTTGTTGGCTGGGCGGGCACAACCCTCTGCCTGGTCTCCTGTGCGGCCGCCTTCTCGCACGGCGCGAGCCTTTCTGCCTGCACCGACATGATGCCCAGGCACCTGAGAAGCTCTGTGCCGCGGGCAGGGAGAGGCTCCGTGCTGGGCACCAGCCCCGCCAGGGATGGGGCTTGCAGCAGCTCTGCGGCTCTAAGGGTAGGTGCTTCCCCTGTTGATCAGGTTGCACATTTGGGCTGGGAATGGTGATGGGAGCAGAGCGCAGTTGCACCCAGCCGTCTCCTCCTAAATGCCATGAGACTTTTTAGAGCAAATCTTGCCCGACCACTCCCTCCATGGGCGACTTGGCAAGAAAATCATCCTCTTGCAGGACCTCTCCCCTTCCACCCACAACAATTTACTTCAAAAATGTGAAATGCTGTGGATTACCGAAGTGGATCCATGTGCTGCAGAGATCATTTATTCTCCTTTGTTTAAAGGCTGTGGGAAGGGCAGCTCTGAAGCTCAGCTAATTCAAAGGTGCCAGATGGGCTCACAGGCTGCTGAAGCCACTGCTTGGAAGTGAACCTGCCCGTTGTTTTCTGCCGTAGGATGGAGGATGGCAGGAGCGCCCACATCGCTGTTGTTGGCTGGGCGTGCACAACCCTCTGCCTGGTCTCCTGTGCGGCCGCCTTCTCGCACGGCGCGAGCCTTTCTGCCTGCACCGACATGATGCCCAGGCACCTGAGAACGCAGCTCCACAGCCCCAGCAACAACTACATTACTGTCCACACCAACATGTCTTTCTACTTCCCAGGCGACAAGGTTCCAGGTAAGGAACAGCTTTTCATTTCTGCATCTGAAAAATACATGATAACTAATCTCAAGTGATGGCATTAATCTTTGAGAGGGCTGGGAAGAGGGAGAACTGCTCCAAGTGAGCTACGCCACCTCTCTCATCATGAGGAAACGAACGTATTTACAGAGGGATTCAGTTTGCAGCGCTTGACCTAAGGTTCCTCAAACTCCAGGTTTTCACCATGTTGCAGATCAACTGTTTGCCAGAGGCAGACGATAGGTTTGGATGCTTTGGGTGGGATTCATTTATCTCCACTGTGTCTCAACCACAGCGGACATCACCACGTGCTGGCATATGAGAGGCACCTCCAGAGGGTAAAGTCGCCGTCCCTGCTCTCCTGCACTGCATGCGGGGGACTTTCCCGACTCTTAGGTACGGTTGGGCAGCATGCCCTGTCCCCATCTGCACCACTCCTGAGGCAGATGCAGACAGAGCTGAGAGGCACTGCTCCCCAGCCTGGCCGCTTGCCCACTCATCCCCAGGCAAAATAAAACCCCTCCGAGGGCAACACACAAGCATTTGCATACATACAGGGCGGTACCCAAACCTCCTTCCTTAAAAATGACTGCATGCTACCTAATGCAATGTGGTTAACAGCTTATAATCAAGGGGAGGGGGGGAAGACTCAAGCAAATTTTGTGTGCAGTTACCCACTGCAAAGTTAAAAGTCCGGCCTCCTCCATCCAGCATGTCCAAGACAGTCAGTGAGGACAAAGACAGTAAGACGTTTTTGTTGGGTTTGCACAGGGTTTTCTTTCGGTTTCAGTGCTACCACTGGAAACTCCATCACACTCAATTCACCCCATAACTACAAGGCAAATCCCTTCGTGCCCCATGTTTTGTCCTGCAGTGACCGTGAGGAGCACCCGGGATTTTATGGGCTTTTTGCTTCAAGCTCGCAAAGTGTCAAACGATGAAATCGCTGGCACATTCATCTTCATCCCTCCTGGTTCCAAGCTGCTGACTTGTTTTGAAGATGGTGACACCGTCACCCACTCGGACAAGTCACTGAAGAGAAACCTGTCCTTCGTATGGAAAGCACCAGACCAACCCATTGGAGACATCAAGTTTTTGTAAGAACATGCTGGTTCCTAACCAGAATTTGTGTCTTCTCAGCTAAAGGCCTGGCTTTATTTTTCCATCATACTTGTCCAGCACAGTGGTTTATGTATCTCGAACACCATATAACTAAATACTTATCGAGTGCTGCAACAGTGTCCCAGCTGGCACATAAACCACCATTTATATCTGCTGGGTAGTGCTGCTTTTTATTTACATGGTCACTATTTTCTCAGAATAAGTACACTGGAAGATGACAGCCTAAGCACTCAGGAAATAGAAATATTAAGGCATAAAGAGACAACTGTGATCACATTGCCTACCTTTCTAAATAACACAGCCCATAGGACTTCCCTGCCTACAGGATAATCTTGTATATCACTTCTTTAAAAAAAACATTAAAAATTAGTGTTTTTTTAAAAAGTTAAATGTAAACGGAATTATTCACAGTAGGAAGAGAGAGTGAGCACTGGGGCAAAACTTGACATCTCTGTTTTGCACCAAAGTCCCAAACTGTCCAAGTATTTTGGTTCTGAGTTGGAATGAAATTAAACATCTTCTAAGTGGCTATCTTAGAGGAAGCACAGTGACTTTTCCTTTTGGAAGAGATTAAATTGTTATGTTTTGACTTTATAAAACCATTTAGAAGCTGCTTGGCCAGATCCTCGGCTGCTCCCCAAATCATAAACATCCTGGTGAGTGTCGTAGCTTGTGCATCTCATCATGAGTCAACACAAATTCATTGAAACAGAAATACTGCTGTTTGGCATTTCTAATTTTTACCCATTGTTTTAGATTAGGAAGTACTATTAAAAACACATAAAATTCAAGCAACAAAATCAACCCGACCCAAATCCAACAACACCCATTCCGAGCCACCCGCTCTGATGCTTCCTTCACCCTCCAGCTTTCAACCCTCCAAGCTGATTTCTGATAGCCTCTCCCTTTTCTCCATATTGCAGCATAAGCGAAAACTCCTTGTTAGGCTTAAAAAGGCCTTGTAAGAGTCATCTGGCACAAGAAACCCCGGGCTGGTTTCCCCTTAGCTAATTCTCAGAAGCAGCTGAGCAATCTGAACTGAAATTCTCTCAAAATCTCCAGCTTAAAGAAGGCTCTCCGGGTGAACAGTTAAAGGTTGGCCAACGCAGCACTGGCACTGGACAAAAAGAGGAGGGTTAGGCGAGCTCAAATACCAGAGGGCTGAGAAGAGAGACTTTTTTTTTTCCCTACCTATTCTGCTGTTTGTACAACTTACATTGACTTGTTTTAATTAGTAAATACCACTGTTGTTTCCCTGCCTACGGAGGATTATAAGCAGAGCTAGTCCAAGTTTTCCAAATGTACTTCTATCAACACAGTGAATACAATAGCTTTTTTATTATTATTTATTTAAGTTCCCACACATTTTTTTGGCTGATCTTAATTATGAGTGGTGATTCTTCACCCCGTATCTTTCTTATGGGACCTGGTATCTTTTATTTGTAATATAAAACGTGTGACGGGCTAATCCTTTAAATTACTTCTGCGTCACCTCTGTCTTGGGATTAAAGCAGTCCTTGTGATTAGCTCAACAGTCGGATGTTTTATTAGTGCTATACAGCCAGTAAATTCTTGCCTAATTATGTCTTAACAGCATCTCCATAGTCCAGTCATACTTTGTTTACTGGGCAAAGATCGAATCTGCTATCGTGGCTCAGCGAGGGCAAAACAAAACACTTGCTGGTGGCAGCAAGAAGCCTGACCCCGTAACGCCCGTGCCCTCGCTGGGACCGGCTGACCCACACCCCACAGGTACGGCAAGCAAAGGCATGGGTTTCTTACCGACCGCAGAGTGGTTTTACAGCTTGTTCCAGGCAAGCGTTGAACACAGGTGACCCAAACAAGCTGGAGGGACCTCTTTGACTCCCATGGCCATCGGGGAGATCAGCAATGGCTGTGGCGAACCCCTGAAGTGAGGGCATGGGACAGCATCTCAGGTGATGGAGCCAGTCCTGGGGACAGTACCAGAAAGATTATTAGAGTTGCCAAATTTTATGATTTCAATGCAAACCCTAAAATACAACATTACCTAAAATCTTAGCTTCTGAAGACAAGCAAGTGAGATTAGGAGTGCTGTCTAAAGGAATTCATTTGTCCCTGAATGTGTCTATTGACATTCAGGTATGTATTTAGTTGTACTTATGCAGCCACTGGTCAGTAAAACGCTCCAAAAATTTACTTCTACTAACATCAGATGTGTTTCTCAGCATTTTTGGCATGGCACCAAGACTGAGCTTTAATTATTTTACTTGACTGTAATTTAGGCAGTGGGTCTTGCTGCTTTGCTTTCCATCTGGGTTCCTACTTAAAACTGAGTGACATGAAAATTAAAAAAAGCCACAACAAACCCCCCACTATTATGATCCTTCCTGGCAAACGTTAGCACCAAGTGGGATTTGAAATAAACAAACTGAAGACAATAGACCTCTGCTCCTCTCTCCCTGCTTCTTGTTTTGTCTCCATGCTGGACAAGGTCCCACCTCTCCTGCAGCTGCCACCAGCTCCCCTCTGCACACCCCCGCGCCGCCTGCCAGCCCCACCAGCATCGCGGCAACGCCAGCACCCGAGCCAGGTTTTGGTGCTGGGTCAGATGCCCGTCCCGTCACTGAGCAAAAGCAGCCAGCCCGGCCTTCACGGGATGTGTCCAGTGGGAGCAGTGGGTCCTGGGGCCAGGGGCTGGGGGCGTCCCTCCCCACCCGAGACCCCAGCACAGCAGACGCCTTGCAAGGTTCCCTCTCCCAGGACGACAACTCCAGGTACAGCACCTCCGACGGGTAAACTAGGCAGTGGGAAGAGCTATTTCTCCAGCCCTTCTGGGGAAGGAAAATAGTACTGGTTTCCCTGTGGATGCACAAGGGCCCATGTAGGAAGGTGTCTGCAGGCTGGGGGAGGGAGGTGAGAGGGTGTTTGCTTGCCAAAATTTTGAGAAATAACCCTTTGGAAATTGCATGTGACAGACAGTGACAGGTAGAAAATCCAAAACTCTTAAGAACCCAACGTTGCGCTGTTCAGCCCAGCAGAGGACCAGCCAGGTGGCTGAAAAATGTGATTAAAAACTATTGACTGCTACAGTATTTTCTTCTAAAAGCACGTGCAAATATTCAAAGAAACAGTGAACTCAGCAGAGCTATTTCTCCATCTGGAGGGAAAAGGAAGAAAGGATTTAAAGCAATTATGAAATTTGGGCTTGAGGATGTCTGCTCAGAAGTCTTAGAGCATGAGCTTTCAGGACACATTTTACACTGTGGGTGAAAAGGATGGGGAGAAGAATAAATGATCAGGTGTTACTAAAATATGGTCTGCGTTGACCGTGTGTGTCCTGAGGCCACTCTAGCGAGTGGCAGACTCCTCTGGTGGTGCAGAGCCCAGGTATTCCTGACGGGTCTCACTTACTAACCCTGCCTTTCCTCTGTCCATACCTTAGAACAGGAGGCGTTGCCAGCACTACCACCTCACGCAACTGTTTGGTCTGTAAAGACGATGGGCAGGTAAGCAGCAGGGACAGGGGGGATGTCCTCTCCAAAGATAGAAAGGTCTAAGAGAAGATGAGGATAAAACCTCTCTACTGCATCACATCACCAAGCAGCCCACGCAGGTCTCATAAGTGACTAAACCTACACTGAGACTGTTAAGACTTCTAATTTTGTTACTTTAACTGGGAATTGGGTTTTATATCTCTTTTTTTGTTTTCCTTTTGAGCCCGCTGCCTGGGTTTTTAAGAGTCCCGCTGTAAAAACCATCTAAAATAACTTTTCCATATGTAGACATGACTGCAGGCTGCTGGATGTTACTGGGCTGGAAACATGCGTTTTTTTCCCATGGAAGGCTGAGATGTTCCTTTCCAGAGGTGCTGGATAGGTACCACCCATGACATTCACGAGAGGTCAAAGACTTCATCTTTCCTGGGGACGGCCAAGGAAGCTTTCTGAGGGCAGAGTCAGCCTGGGAGGCTGGATGGACCAGAAAGGCAGAGGTGGTGGTGGTGGTATTGGTGGTGGGGTTAGCCACAGGCACGGGGTGCACTCACCAGAGGCAGCTGGAAGAACAGGAGCTGGCAGATGGGACAAGCGGGTGGGAGCACCTTTCAGGAAGGGGTGCCTCAGGAGAGGAAGCCCAGAAAGGCGTGAAAGGACTGCAGCCTTGGGGAGCGGGGTGGCTGTATGTACAGAAGGAAACATGAGAGCTGGAAAGGGCATGGGAGGAATTAGGTAGAAAGACAAAAGGAGAGCAAGAGGAGGGAGAGAAACTGGAGAATACTAGGGCTGTGGAGCAGAGAGGGGGCTGCTCAGATGGGAACTAGTGAAGAAAATGGAAAGCAGGGATAGCTTAGAGACATGGGGTACAGAGTTAGCAGGGGAAGTCCAATACACAGGGGATGAGGAGAAGAAAAATACAAGGAAAATAAAGAAGTAGATCTGGGTTGCAGGATGCCACAGGAGTAAGAGAAGTAATCTCACAGAAAATAAGAGAGGAAGGGGCAGTACAGCAGAGAATGAAGCAGAAATATTTAGGAAGGCGCAGAGGACAGAGAACAAGTAGGGATGAGTAACATAAGCATCTGGCGTAGCCATGGAGGGAAGTGGAGAAATGACAGAAGATGGTAACCAAAGGAAAGGAAGAGTTATTGTGGAAGGCAAGACCAGAAGAGCTTAACAAAAAGATTAAGAAATTAGCAAGAAAGGAGAGTAGTAGTATGAAAAGAAAGGAGAAATGAAGTGAGATAGGGCAATTCCATTTTATATCCCAAAGTCCCAAATCCTGCAGTATATCCCTACTGAACGGCGCCTGCATTTTGAGGGCAAGTGATCCATAAACATGCAAACCTAACTTTGCCAGCCAGCTACTTTACAGTTTGCAGGTCAGCCACTGAAAGTCTGTTATTTACTACTGTATTTCACTAGCACCTTCAGAAACCGTCTCTTCCGCAAAGGACACTCTGACCCTCCCCTACTTTGCTTCACAGCTTGCCAGGGCTCCTACCTCAGCTTTGTGCCCCCGTCGCGCTGTCTTCCCAGCAAGCTTTAGAAATCACTAACGATGGTAGAGGGTGAGAGTTTCTCTGGTGTAACTAATGGATGTGTGAAAAAGCCTGCTGGGCTGGACAGGCTGGAGAGGTGCCAGCTATGGAGGGCCAGATCCAAATCTCAGTGGAGCCAAAGAAAAAACTCCAGTACATTTTGCAGGTTTTGGATGGGGGCTCAGGTGCACAGTGGGAATGGAAAGATTCATTGGGGGCCTCCTAAATTGTATGATTGTTTCACAGTTAGTCTTGGATGGTATCTGCAGCACAGCCTGGGCTGCAGAACTGGCATGGAGTGGCTGTCATTTTGCGATGGATAACGTAAGGTGCGTGACACCAGGCAGAGCCCCTAGGAGCAGGAGCACGCAAGACCAGTCATTCCCACTAAAATGGGTGGTTAAGCAACACTGAGGGGCATCAGGTTTCAAACTGGCTGTGTAGATTGAGAAAGCAAGACGGGTTTTGGGGAGACTTCACAGGTTGTATATGACTGCCCCAAACCTGCTGATGTCAAAGTCCATCCCAAGTCTCCTGGGTCCCTCCACTCCACCGTTCGGTCCACAGCCTCAGAAGGGCGATACTGAATCCCAGTGGGCCTGGCATGACCCTAAATACAAAACTTGGCCAGGACAATCACACCTGTCCTTTCAGCATGACCCTGGCATCCCTCAAGATGGGAATTGCTTATTAAGTGATTTTTTTTTTTTTGTGATAATGATGCCTGTGAAAAATACCACCACCACCACCATTGCAACGGGAGTTGCAGACCTTTATTTAGGTGAAGCAGTGACCTTCCTCCCTGCCTGTGCCCTTCACCTCTGCCCCTTCAACCCACCCTGCCTTGCCCCCCTGGGACCAACTCCCAGTGCCTTGTCCCTCCCATGGCAATTCTGATAAGGATGCAGCAGGGTTGAATCTGCCTCATTTTCTAAAAGCTACTGAGTAACCAGGGGATGGAGCGGGGTTATTCCAAGGCCAGGGGGACACCCAGGTGTCAGAAATACAGAGCTGAACTGTACCGCGACGTAGGTAGCGAGAACCTAATCAGCCCCCTTTCTTTTCCCTCACCATACATCTCATCATGCTTTTGCTTTCAAAGGCCAGCACTGAGAGCGGGGCCATCTCGAAATCCTCCCCACATGCGACAGCGTCTCCTTCTGCCCCGCACGTACGCACTCACCTGGGTGACGCCACTGCGACAACAGCCTGGTTTGGTGATGCTGATGCTGCCGGCAATTTGTCATCGGCTTCAAGGCAAATGGCAGAAAGAAAGCTGGCATCGCAGCCAGAGGAGACGGGCGCTGGGGGCAAGGAGGAGGCGGCAGATGGGAATACTCTGCCATGGGTGACCAGACCAGCTCCCAAATCTGCTGTTCCCGGGAAGGGGGAAGACCCTGGCAGAGGCACCCGACTCCTAGCAGCCCAACTCGGCATCCTCCTGGTCTGCACTGCTGCCCTGGGCCTGGTGCTGGCAGCTGCCGTGCGCTGTGTCTGTGCCCAGCATTGCCACAAGCGGTCGGAGGTCTCCTTCAGCGAGCCGGACCCCAACGTCATCGCCATCAGAGAAAACGGGGAGGTGATGCACTTCCGAAAGATCCGGGAGAACAGCTTCGTGCTGGTGCAAGCCCAGTACAACTGGGTCAGCCCGTCAAGCAGCGGGAAGAAGACAATCATCTGAACACCTGCAACGCTGAAAGCAGCGCTACAGCGGCCGGTGTAGGTGAAAACAGCCCGGACTGCACAGCACAGGTTATAGGAAGCAGTGGGGTAGTTCCTCTATGTGCCACTGTATAGGTAAACAAACTCGAAGCAGCCAGTTCAGACAGAGGTGTTAGTCGAAAGTATCTAAGCTACAGCAGCTAAAAAAACAGAAGTTGATAGATTGTTCAGTGTATTACACTTACTGCAATTAATATTGTATATCTGCTCATTAGCTGTCACTGCCGCCATGACATACGCTTCCTCTATTGCCTTAAGGGTGTAGCAAAAATAGAAATTCTTCCTCTGTGCTGTAGTATTGTCTCCTGTTTAATCTCAGCAAAAGTTTCTAGTGTTATATTTCTTTCTAGGAACTAGAAATTCCTGATATAAACCCAACCATTCTCATTTAGGAGCTTGCAGGTTTGATTCTGTGCATTTGGTATCTCTCAGATGACAAAACATTTGCTGGATTTTAAGTTTCAAAGTGAAAATAAAGAGCAAGAACTCATCAGTGGAGAACATTGATTCAAAGAATGCTGAATTGATCTATGGGAATGAAACACAGGGTGGCGGATACCAGCTTTTGGGGAAGAAACATGCCTCCTCATCAGGTGCAAATGGAAGAAAACCTTTCCTGTCCATTTGCACCTGATGAGGAAGCTTGTTGAAGTCTGACAGCCAGCATTTACTTAGTCTTTTACTTCGAGTCAGCTCAGTGACACTCTGTGCAGAAACATGCACTGAGAAGTACCCTTCCCGGGTCACTTTGGAGATCCCCAGCAAGGGCTGCATGGAAAGTTAACAGCCTCCTTGTACACTTGAGTTTGTGCGAACTTCTCTCTGACCGTGTGGCCTTCTGCCTGAGGCCACTAAAACAGCCCTTGGAAAACATGAAGATCCTTGAGACCTTCTAAGAAGGATAGGTGATGACAGCGAGGGTAAAGGTTTATTTTACTGCAGCTTTGAAAGAGCCAGAAATAGTCCTGACAGAGATCCTCTTGAGATGTACATTTTAGAGCCTTTCAGAGAGCAGGAATCACCCCTTCTTGTGTCCTTTTCTAGGGTGGAGGGAGGGGCTCAGATGGTCCCCAAGCTATGTAATGGGGGGACAGACTTAAACTTTGGTGCTGCAGCTTATTTCACAGCCTGCAGCCATCCTCCCCCTGAGCTAAGCAGACAATGACGGGACCCTTGATGGCTGACACATCCTTCCTGGTGACAACTTCCCCCTCTGTCAGGAGGGCCCTGTGAAGTTCTCCAACTAGCTGGCCACCTTCCTGCTTGATAGCCAGCCAAAGCTCTACTCTCACGTCCTCCCTTACCTTGCCATTGCCTTCCGAGGAGCCAGGCGGGACATAGATGAGTTCTATTCAAACCCCTACAACATGATGAACACAGCGCATCTTCTGCTAATAGCACCTTCTATTAGTGTTCAGAAAGAGCTGGTCTCTGGCCATACTACTTCACTGTGATTAGTAACACGATGCTTTGCGCTACACACATGGCCAAATTTCTGTCGAGTTAACTTCTAGGCCTCGTGAGCCTTGGGCAAAATAAATGAGTAAGAAAAGAAGTGTACTCACAAATGCGGCTTGCAGAGATGAGCTTGATGGTCTTAGCCATTGCACTTTGAAGAGAAGGGCGGCCACACCATGGCTCTTCCACTGCAGAGTAACCAAGGATAGTGCTGTAATCGGAAAGACATTTGTTTTAGGACTCTAAAGGATGCTACGTGAATGTTTTTGTGTTCAATAAATTGAGCTTAAGCATTACCTACTAGGAAGTCTACAGGTTTTTAAGTACAAGTCTAGACACTTACAATGGCATTCCTCTCCTGTGTCACATGCCTTAAAAAAAATCATGTTTCTGTAACCCAGTGTAGCTGAATTGTGTAGCGACTAAAGCAGACAGCATTCAAGTCATTGTTAATGCAGCCAAAAAAATCCTAATTTACTGAGAAAATAGGTCAACAGACTCTTAAATATTTAAAGAACTATCATATTATTTTTAAAAGTTTCTCATGACGGCATAGCTGTTTATGAATAAATTACAACTACCTATGGCCTCTTCCACTCTCTCTCTAGATTTCAACGTCACCGGACTGCTATAGCTATAAAAACATAACCCCCTCTTTCCCCATGACCCAGCACTTCTTCTTGCCAGGCTGACCACAGCAAGTGAAGGCCTCATGGAGGTGTTTGATCAGGATAGCGGCACTTCAGCACCACTCTGCCTTCTGTTAAATTTATGCAGCTCCAGTATTATTAGTAGTAAAACCAGTAATGGTGAGTGCTGAGGGACACAGCTCTTTTGAATTAGTAATCAGTTTTGCTACTTTGCAGACTTGGCTAGGACCTAAAGTGCTTGTGTTTTTTTTCTTGACTTCTGAATGATGTTTCGTTTATCGTAGTTGCCATGACAAGAGGCATGGAGGTTTTATCTCTTCTTATGGCTGTTAAAAACATGGGCACTGATTAATTTATTAAAAGGCAAACCATTCAAACACCCCCATTCTTAAGTGACTCGCCTTGTACAGAAATTCATCTGTGCTCACCTTTGGAACAGATTCAGGAAGAAAAAAAAAATTACAGAATTAGAAAAAGAAATGTGCAAACCACTCTAATATTTACTGGAGGGCGAGTAAAAGACTTGCCTTGTTTCCCTCTTTAGGTGCATGACTGTGTTGGTCGCAGACGTTCTGCTGGAACCGGGGATCTCAGTTCCTCCAGTGCAGGTCGGCCTGCAGCTGTGTGTGGCCCACGTTAGGCTGCCATCCCCCAGCAAAGCGCCAGGGCTTTGGGTCAGAATTACTGACCAAAGGGATGGAAAGCAGCTCACGTTCGGCTCTAACGCACACCTATCCTGAGTCTGTCTTCCCACCAGCCAAACAGGCATCAAATGCAGTTTTGGGGCAGTGAAAACTCCTATGGCTTAAATCCCCTGGTGCCCTGACAATGCTTGAGCTATCCTAACTCCAAAAACAAACAAAAAAGATTTATAAATACCTAACTTGTATACAGACATACCTGTTCACCACGCCCTTACTTGCATACTCATTTTCCTGTCTTGTGTCACTGTGATTCCTGCTTTCCCTCTGCTCCATGAAAATATAAACCACTGCCCCTAAACGATCAGTCCTGCATGTTGAGCATATAGCGCCATCGTTGATTCTTACCACTTTGCCATGGAAATCTGTTTGGCACCGCCCATCATCAAGCCCTTCCATAAATCTGTTCCCCCTCTGCTTCGGAGAAGATGTTCATCTGCTCTACTAAAGATGCCCGCCCCCAGCTGCAGTCAGCGGAGGATGGCAGCCCTCCAATACATTAGTGGCACTAAATGTAACATGGAGAGGTTGCATTAAGCAACACAGCTGGCCCAAAGCTTGGTTAAGTCATCATGGACATTTCCTTCATGGATTGAATCGTCACGAGTAAGCAAAAGCCAAACACGCACCCATTTGGTCAGCTCCAAAATGGGTGATGAGACCCACAGAAGCCACGGGGCCCCGTGGGCCCAGCTGCTGGGGTCGGCAGGGATGTGCAAGCTCAGGCTCTCAGCAGAGGCAGCGCTCCCCCCAGAGCAGTGCAGGATAAGGTCCCAGGCATTATGGAGGTCTGGCTGGGTGGCTTGGCCAGCCCTTTGGGCACAGTTTCTGCAACTACTTAAGACCACACAAACCAAGGGAGGCAAAGCAGCAAGGCCAGGAACCCAGAGAGCAAAAGATTCAGCGCATGCCCTAGCAAACTGCGCACAGGGAGATGCCGCCTGGGCTGCCTTGCTGAGGGGTGAGGATTTGTCCTCTCCCTCACCCCTGAGGGTTTGCCCCTGCTTCGGCCAGCTCCTTGGAGGAGCTGCAGATGCAAGTCTTAGTTATTCACTTAGATTTAAATAACAATGAGGGATGCCTGTAAAAAGATGAGGAGATGCTCTATTTCCTGCAACATTCAGCTGCAAAAAGACAGCTGCTTACCAGCCAAAACCCAAGGACAAAGTAGCGACCAGACCTGCCCAGCTGGTGAACAGCAGAACAGCCCCCTCACTCCTCCTGGCAAGCCAGACCCCCTCCGCCACTCCTCGGTGGTCTCAAGGCTCAGTCTGAAAGTCATGATGTCTGCAAAGCTCGGCAGGGCTCCCTGCCTGCCTTTCCCCTCCCCTCTCTCCTGCCAGCTCCTCCAAGGCACCACATTATCTACGTGGGGGAAGAGAAGCACCTGGGGAGTCACGACTGCCATCAGCTGCTCAGGGGTCTCTCCTGGCTCCCTCCTGCCACCAAATCGTTTCCCGTCCGCAGGTCTCGTCACAGCGGCCCTCTTTTCCCATTAGCACACGCGTGACTCTCTCAGCAAAGCATTTTGTTATATGATGTATGAAGGATCATGTCCCAAACCACATTTTACTGTATATTTAAGTGCACGTTTTGCTGATTTACTGCTGTTCTAGAGAACATCTCCCTTCCTGAGCGGAGCAGGCCCATAAAGGATATATCAGCTCTGACTAATGATTATTAGTACATCCCAAGGTTATGTACCACAATCAAATAACATGTAGGAGGGAAGAGAGACTCCAGCTTACTCGGCTGAGGACAAAGATCACAGATAGTCTCTTTGAATCTTCAGATTGCAATATCCATTACAGATTGCCACCTTCTAATGTCAAAGTATAATTTGTTGTGGAGAAAATGTGTCGCTATCTCGAAGGCGAGTCAAAGATCAGACTCGCTGTATATCAGCCTATGTTGATGTGCATTAGGAAGCGGCGGCCAGGTACCAAGGACATTAGGCTGTCGGTATAGGGGAAAAAGGCAGAAGACGTGCCTTGCTGATCTTCATTATGCAAACACACGGCCCAAAGAGGAAAAAATATTTAACCCAGCCGAGTAAAGCGTCACCCGTAATTCCCGGTGCCTAATGCAGCACCGACCCGACGTGTCAGACGAGTTAACCGCCACCTCCTACCCCGGCGGCAGGCGGTGCC